TAAAGTATTGAAGTGCTTCCAGTTGGTTAAACGCTATGGTATATTTGGTATAAAAGATGGAAAGACAGAAAGAAAGAAAAGTTAAAGAAATAAGCTTTTTATCTATGAAGGAAAGAAAGTTATTTTTCCTCATTTTTATTTGGTAGGAAGGATGAAAAATAGAAGAGATATATTTTTTATTGTTTGGTATTAGATGAAAAATTAAGAGAAAGGAAAACCATGCATACCCAATTTTATAATTCTACCCTTTAAATATATGAAGTGAATTTTAATATTACAAATCAATCCTATCAATTTGGTCCAGTTTTTAATCCCTTTATTTTTGTTTATTGATTCCTCTAGTTTTCAATAAATAATATGAAAATTTTGGTATTCATTTCTTATGTGTACCACTATGTGCATGTTAACAAATTAATATTTCTATCAAGGGTGGCTCAATACAAACATTTTTTAACATGCATGTCCAAATTATTTTTTAAATAACAAAAATTAATAAAAATTTTGAAATGTTAGTTACTTCTACTCACTCTATTTTCTAGTCATTTTGTGTTTTATGTATTTCTTGTGTATTAGTAAAAAAATAATCAGCAAAAAAAATTAACCTAGGAAAAACAGATGAATTTAAAATTATTGTTGAAGAAGGTATCCTAAATAACATCATTGGTTTTGCTGATCGAGTTTGTCGTCTCGTTGCCCTTGTCTGAGATATGTGACTTGTTGTCTATTATTTGAGAACTGAGTTTTGTTTTAAAGAATATTTATTCAAATTGTTATATCTTTTTTTATTTTTCCTCCATTTTTGGGGGGAAAGCAAATTGTGGGCCAGAGGGAAAAGCCCTCCCTCCAATTTTCCTTTCCATCATTCTTTCATTTGATACCAAACAATGAAAAATTTTTCCATCCACCCCATTTTCCTTCAAACCAAACATACTGCTAGTCTGTGGCAGCTTGTTTCTCTCAAATGAGGGAAGGAGCATCCAATTTACTTGATCAGTCATTTGATTCCCAAAACAATCATCATCATTTTCACCAAATTAAAGGTACGAAAATTTTTCCTATACAATTGACACCATCCGTTAGAAATAAGTGACTACTAGGCATCTCAAATATACGAAGTACATTAGGATCACCGCGCAATGACAACAATCAGAGAAGTACGATCCTAAGCAAAAATACTGAATATCAATGCCCTCGGACAATGATGTAACGGATAGTGCGGCCAACAATGATATGAACCAAGGGAGGATGTTCCTCGGACTGATAGTAAAATTTCTACTTTTATGAAGCTAATCAAATACTATGAGAACTCACATTATACTCGAGATTGTATGTTACGAAGGTCAAAAGAAGCGGAAGAGAGAATAAGGTAAGAGGTCGAGGAGATGAATAAGCACTCAAGAGGTCAGAGGATTACCAAAATACTTGGAGGGTTCAGTAATAAGGGGACCAGCGCTAAAAAACCTCACCTTCTGAAGCATAAACAAAGCTCTGCCAATCTTGGAACAAAAGGACAGATATCCTTTACAAGAGGCACGGAAACAAAAAATTCCTCAGGTAGAGAACCAAGAGGACAACTAGAGGCATTTCATAACTAAAAAACTCGATATTTAATTGGAGTGCCCTAAACAACAGACTACCTAAGAGATATCGTCCTTCACACCTGGATTGATGAAGAGAGGATACTAAGGAAGTTCATGATGTCAAACTTCAACCTCTATGATGGCAAGATGAACTTGTCAGCCCACCTACGCCACTACCCACAGCTCATGGAGATACTTCAAACGAACAAGACTTTGATGTGTGCCACATTTGCCAGTAGATCGGGGGAGTCGACAATGAAGTGGTTCAACCACCTCCCTAGAAAATCAATCAATAGTTGGTGCAATTGAACGAACAGTTCATCACCCAAAAGACATAGGCATGTTTCTTTCATTAAAGAAGAGGGCAGAAGAAGATGTTACGAGATTACACCCATCCTTGTTGAGATATTTTGAATGAGATTGAAAAATGCAATCTCGAGATAATTGTTGTTTCATTCAAGCTCAACTTGCTAAAGGAAAACCCACTATATCACTCGTTGACTAGGTGACTTGCTTTTGACACGGAAGAACTGATGGCTAGGGTAGAGGAATATGCAAAGGTCAAGGATGAGTTGGGAAAAAGTTCCTAAAGGAATTGCAGAGTCAAAAACCTAACGAAAAGGAGAAGCAAGACGAAGCCCACTCGACAAATAAAGGCTAGGAAAAAGTTGGCTATATTCCCCCCCTAAGCCCTGCGAGTGTTGGAGGAACTGGTTGGAGCTAGGCATCTCGAGAAGTACATTGACGAGGAGGAGAGAAAGAAAAAGGATACCACAAGCAAGAAAGGGGACAATAAGGGTTACCGCCAGTGATCTAATAGAGGTGATTCATGCAATCACTGAAAAGAATATGGCCACAAATAAAGCAAGCAGATCGCCATTAGGGAGGCACACAAGACCGGAAGCACAATCGAGTAGATCGCCAAGAATCTCTTAAGCGAGCAGAATGAAGAGTTGATCAGCTTCTCAGATGAGGACTTGACGGGGATCCACCACCCCCACAATGATGCCCTGATCCTGGCCCTCAACATCGCGAAGTTATATGAAAAGGATTTTAATAGATCAAGGGAGTTCTTAAGAAATTATGTATTTGGTTTGTTCAAGAAGTTAGGTTTGAAGGATGAGGACCTAGTTTATGTCCTTATGGTTGGCTTTATGGAAAAATTTTGTTGTCTAAGTACAAAGTTACCCATCCCATTGAGCAAGACCAATTATAACTACGATTCAATTCTTAATCGTGAACACATATTCAGTATACAATGCCATCATGGGGCGCATATGGTTGTAAAAGATGAAAACAATCTTTATAACTATCCTCAAATTCTAAACTTTCTGTTTGTTAAGGGGATGGTTGACATTCATGGTGAACCAAGTCACTGCAAGGAGCCGTTTTCATGTGTCCCAAAAGGGAAAGGATATAAAGGATAGGCTTGGGGATATCGACCAAGTGCCCGAGGCAACTCAGAAATAGCAATCAAAGTATGAGAGGCTCAACCTAGAGGAACCATTAACGATCGAGCTGTGGAAGATTTGGTGCCGATCCCCCCAGGTATTTCTTGGAAGAGTCATCACTGACCAAATAGGAAAAGGAAGTGATGGAGAGCCTGTTACAAAGAAATATTGATATGTTTGCATGGTCACCCTATGAGATACTTGGCATTAGCCCCGAACTTGTTTCTCATTAGTTGCATGCCAATCCGAGCTTCAAACTAGTAAGCATAAGCAACGGAGATCGGTCATCTAGCATATAGAGGGAATCCATGCAGAGGTCACCAAATATTGGAAGTCGAGTCCATTTGGGGGGGGGGGGGGTTTATTCTTCCCTAAGTGGTTTTCAAACATGGTGATAGTCAAAAGGAAGAATGGCAAGTGGATAATGTGTGCGGATTTAACCAATTTTTTTTAAAAAATATACCCCAAAGACAGTTTCTTATTGCCAAAGATAGAACAGATGATAGATGCCACGTTCGGAAAATAGAGAATGGACTTCCTTAATGCATATACAGTCTATCACCAGATCCCATTTCAGTAGTCAACCCAAGAGAAGACTTCTTTCATAATTCCTATGGGGACATTTTATTGCAAACTGATGCCATTCGGACTAAAGAGTCCAGGTGAAATCTTCCAATGATTGGGGTCCATGATGTTCAAGGATATACTCGAGTAGACCATGAAAGTTTACATTGATGATATGTACATTCAGAATTAGTTCAGGGTAAGGGATTAAAGCTAATCCCAAACAAATTCAAGCCTTCCAGCCTCCAAGAATCATCAATGAAACCTAGAGGTTAATAGGGATGAGTACTACACTAAACATGTGTTTATCAAAATCATCAGACAAATGCATACCTGTCTTTAAGGCCTTGAGAAATAAAGGCAGAAACCTATGGAATGACGAATATGAGAGCGCCTTCATAGAGTTGAAGTATTACTTAGCAAAACCCTCATTACTCATAAAGACAAATAAACACTCAGCACTCTTGTGTTTCCCAAATTTTATGCATATATTCACTCAAAAATATTTTCAAATGACCCGGCAAGTTTCTCTATGGAAATGAAAATACATTTATTTTTTATGCCCAAACTTTCACAACCATAACAGCCATTTTGCATAGCTGTGTCGATCCATAACTTGACCAAATCCTTATATCAGCCTTGAACAAGACAGACCATTAGCCCTAGGGATGACACTGTGTTGTGTCAAGTTTTATTCATGTTATATTAGTTTAGATTCGCATCAAACAGTAATTAATTCTAGTTTAACTTATTTAATTAATCAGGTCAACTGTCTTTAAAATAACTCGACATATTTATTATTATGTCATATATAATTAATCCAGGTTGATTGAATCAAAAATTTAAATTAAGTTTTTATTATCTTCCAGTCAAACTCACACTCATTTTTTTTTTCTATATAAAGTTCACTATACCTATATAATAGTAAAGTGAGAAAAAAATATCTTATTTTTACTAAGACTCATGTAAGTATTTAATAAAAATTGACAACAAACATATTTTATTCATATAATATTGATTAAGCGTGTGTGTTAATCATGTCAATTTCAAGTTATTCGTGTTTCACGATAATAACCCTAATCCACTATCTTGGTGTTCAACCGTAAATTATGGTGTCATGTTATAAATTGCAAATTTGCAACCCCCGACTTACGGACGGTAGCCGACAATTTTTCCCTTTTTAATATTGTTTTTGGTTATAAAAGAGACGAAGGTGGTTGGTAGGTACATTGAGAAGAAGGCCGTATTGGAAATGACTGGTAGCTACTCATTTAGTTCCTTACGTAGTAATAGCACCACCAGCACTTCCTGTCCACCAATTCATATCCCAACAACCCAAACCATCTACAGCAGAAACTGGAAAAACACTTACCCAAAAAGAAACTGGAAAAACAAAAGCATTCAAATGGAAATTCAAATCCAAAAGAAACCCAGAATTCTTTGCCTCCATGGCTTCAGAACCAGTGGTGAAATCCTCAAGAGATTGGTCGGACGGTGGCCGGAAACCTTGCTCGAAAGGTTAGACCTTGTCTTCACCGATGCACCTTATCCGGCACAAGGCAAATCTGATGTTGAAGGCATTTTTGATCCTCCATACTACGAGTGGTTCCAATCTAGCCAGGTCACATAGTAATTGAATTTTTTTCCAAAGCTTAACAAAATTACTGAACTATGGCTGTTTGATACAATGTCGCATAGGAAACTTATATTTTTACTTGCAGGGCTTTACAGAGTACTACAATTTTGAAGAATGTCTTGAATTCCTGGAGGATTATATGATGAAACATGGGCCTTTTGATGGTTTACTAGGTTTCTCCCAGGTGAGTTTGGTTGAAATTTTATGTCAAATTCCAATGAATCTTTTGTAGGTATCCCAATGACAGATCTTACATACAATTTCAAATGTGCACAATCACTTGCTATCACGTGTATCAGTTAAAATTGAACTTAGTGCGGCCAAGTGATCGGACTAAGGATTTACATATCGCCTTTTGTTCGACCGCATAATCAATTTGATCAAGTTAGTTTTTAGTATTTATATGCTAAAGATTCATTGCATTTGGGACTTGAATAGGGGGCGATATTATCATCAGCACTGCCTGGGATGCAAATAGAGAAAGTGGCTCTGACCAAAGTTCCAAAGATAAAGTTTGTAATTATAATATCAGGTGCAAAATTTGGAGGATACAAGTTTGGGTTGCCCAAGCTGGCTGCTAATGCATTCTCGTCCCCAGTCCAGTGCCCATCCCTTCACTTAATAGGTACTTTGGTGGGTTTTGGTTTCGTGTGGTTTGTGATTTCTATGTCAACGTTATAAATTCGGTCCAAATTGAAGGTAAGCTGGACACACATTGTTTTTGCGATTTGACTTAAAAAAAATTCCATCCAAATTGTTATGGTCACAAGGCACAAATGCAATTTTAAATCCTTAAAAATGAAAAAAAAAAAAAAATAGCCCCATCTCTTTTATTTTTTTGGGAAAATTTTCTCCACAACTTTTTTAGATTACCTTAACTTCAAGAAAACCTCTCTATTTTCGGTGTTTGTTTGGTAACGATGCAATATAAATAGTGTTTTTTTTCATTTTTGCCCATCAGATATAAAAAAATTAACAACACAAGTCAAATGTATATTATATATAAAATATGTAGATTCATTTATAAGTTCGTATCGAATATTAGTCAAATTGATCTCAACCCATTTAATTAATCGTATCGTGTCAACTTGACTTGTTTGTTTTCGAATCATGTTTGTATTGACTTATATAACTATTGAATAAGCATTTAAATACTAAAATTGAAGTTTAAGATTTTATTATCTCTTAATGGAACTCATGCTCGTATTTTTTTCATAAATTAAAAATTAACATGTTAAATATAATAATAAAACAATAAAACATTATCTTTTCGAATAAGGATTCTGTCAATAATTGCTAAAAAATAACAAAAAATTGATATTTATATTTTAATACTTGTTAAACATGTTAATTGTTAATTCGTGTTATTTTTGTTTGACACTAATCTGACATATTTATTGTTTGTGTTAACAATTCGGGTAATTTAAATATTCGTGTCCAAAACTAAATAACCTTTACGCGTCTGTGTCACTGAAAATGGAATGAATTAATCTCATATCATATGGAGTAAGAGGCCGGGTGAAACAGACATGGGTAATTTGGGTACTTAGAATGACATTAGCATTTTTTGAGTGGTCCATATAGGTAAAGTTAGGTTAGGGAGTGTATCTGAAACAGATATATGAACTAAAAGGGGTGTTAGTGAATATTTAGAAAATAGAGTGGGTGTCCTTGAAGATAAATTAATCTAGAATGGGTGTGGCTGAAATTTTTCCTTTTTTTTTTTTTTGGTAACATTAGTCAACGCCCTCTCTCCCTCTTTACACCAATGTACCGTTACCACTTGTGGTCAATCAAATACTACATTTTACCACAAAAACAGTAAAAGAAAATTTTGTACCATGGTAGGAGAAAACATATTCCAAGGAGAGTAGATCCACAACTTATATATATGTATATATATAATCTTACCAAATTTCGTTTTGTGCAGGTGATATGGACTTCCTGAAGGAAGAGGGTATTGCTTTACTGGAATCATTTGTGGATCCCGTCGTGATTCATCACCCAAAGGGACACACCATACCAAGACTTGGTCAGTTATTTTTATATATACGTAGTACGAGTAGTGTACGTATTTGACCCGAAAGGTGCCTTCAACCTGCATCTCTGCTACAAATGAACATCTAAGATAAATATAATTTGGTGATATTACATCATCACTAACATGTCGCACTTTAACTCAATGATAAGAGACAGTTGGATACACATGATGAGCCCAAATCTAGCTGAGTTAAAGCCCAATTCATGGGGTAAGCCAAAATCAATTAGTCAAGTCTAGCACATGGCCTCGGTCCAATCCAAGATTCAAGAGACCCAAGAAGTCAGCGCACGTGGGGAGTAAATACCAGAATAACTATTACTTGAAGATCAAAACTATCTTTAATTATACCTATCATTAACTATAGCTATCCTCTCCAAATAACTAATAACCTATTCCTCACGCCACTGCCTTAATTAGGGCTATGTGCCTATAAATTGTAAGCATTATATACATGAGGGACACATCTCTAGATCTCTCACACAACTATCTCTCTCATATAACTACCTCATCATACCTAGAGATTGCTCGTGTTCTCTCACCCATCTTCTACTTTATCAATAAAGCTCTCCGGCCTCGGTTGCTATCTTTAAAGTGGAGTAGGTCACCCTGATCGAACCACTCTATATCTGTATGTTATTTATGCTAATCTCATCTTTATATTTACTATATTTATTATCTATATTAATTACTCGACATGTAGTGCATAAACCTACTTTTGTACATCATCTGTTTGACGTCGTTTGTGGAAAACGATTGAGTTTTTTACTACCTTTCTATTTTCTTTCAAATGCATGGCAATCGCAACCAAATCGATGAATCAACAACCCGAAGACAATGACCCAACTCGTTCGGAGGTTGCTCCGCCTCCGCTTCCACTAGTGGAACTTGTTGGTCTTTTGTGGAGTTTAGTTTGTGTTGATCCAGATGATGACCCGATCCGAAATAATGTTGCGTGATTTTTAATGAAAAATTTTCTGAGACTTAGTCCATGAAGCGGAGGACATCTAAAAACTGTTATTTTTTGTGATTAGGGTTGATTGATACTGTACAGTCACCCTCTATATTCCTTCTTCTCAATAGTGAGATCCCTGTAACTTTGTAGACGTAGGTAAATTGTCAAACTACGTAAATACTATCTTGTGCGTGTGATTATTTTTCTTTGGCGTGTGTTTTTTTTTTTGTTTGTGTCTCACAGGTTTGAGAATTTTGTGAAAATTCTCTAATAACTGGGTATCAGAGCTTGGTTTACGTTTGAGTGGGAGCAATGACAGAAGAAGTAGGAATGACGTCTGGAATAGAAAAGTTTGATGGCACAGACTTTGGATTCTGGAGGATGCAAATCGATAATTATATTTATGGGAAGAAGTTGTATCTACTGTTTCTAGGGGGAAAACCTGTGACTATGAAGGATGAGGAATGAACTCTTCTTGACAGACAAGTACTGGGAGTTATCAGGTTAACTCTGTCTAGGTCTGTTGCGCACAATGTTGTAAAGGAGAAGAGTACAACAGATCTGATGAAGGCTTTGCCTGGTATTTATGAAAAGTCGTCAGCAAATAATAAGGTGCATCTGATAAAGAAACTTTTCAATTTGAAGATGACAGAAAACATATCAGTATCACAACATCTGAACGAGTTTAGCACTATCACAAATCAATTGTCGTCTGTAGAAATTGATTTTGATGATGAAATATGTGCACTAATCGTTTTAGCTTCCTTGCCAAACAGTTGGGAGGCAATGAGGATGGTAGTAAGCAATTCTATAGGAAAAAAAAACTGAAGTATAATGACATACGAGATTTAATTTTGGCTGAGGAGATTCGTAGAAAATATGCAGGTGAAACCTCAGGATCTGGTTCTGCCTTAAACCTTGAGACAAGAGGCAAAGGTAATGATAGAAATTCAAATCGGAACATAAATAAATCTAGATCAGACTAACAAGAAAATGCTGGAATTGTGGAAAAACGAGTCACTTTAATAGGTAATGCAAAAGTCTTAAGAAGAAGAATGAAGATAATTATGTTGATGCTGTAACGGAAGAGGTACAAGATGCATTACTTCTTGCAATAGACAACCTACTTGATTATTGAGTTTTGGACTCAGGAGCTTCGTGTAATATTACTCCATACCAAGAAATCATGTAGAATTATGTTGCAGGTGATTTTGGTAAGGTGTATTTGGCTGATGCTATAGCCTTGGATGTTATGGGTATGAGAAACAGTTGAATATTGTTGCCCAATGGGCCTGTTTGGTTACTGGAGAAGGTTTGACATATTCTTGACCTGAGGAGGAATCTGATTTCTATTGGACAACTTGATGATAAAGGGTATGCTATATTGTTTGTTGGTGATACTTGGAAGATCACAAAGGAAGCCAAAGTATTGGCTCGTGGAAAGAAGACTAATACTTTATATATGACCTCAAGTCCAAAAAACACAATTACAGTCGCTGAAGTAAGTACTGATACAAGCTTTTAGCACCACAGACTTGGTCACACGAGTGAGAAGGGGATGAAGATGTTGCTGTCAAAGGGGAATCTACTAGAATTAAAGTCTGTTGATTTTGACGTGTGAAAGCTGCATCTTAGGAAAACAGAAAAATGTGAGCTTTTTTAAAACTGGTAGGACACCAAAGGCTGAAAAATTAGAGTTAGTACACACGGATTTGTGGGGGCCTTCTCCGGTTGCATCCCTTGGGGGTTCAAGGTATTACATCATTTTCATTGATGACTCAAGCAGAAAGGTATGAGTTTATTTTTTGAAAAATAAATCTGATGTATTTGAGACTTTTAAGAAGTGGAAGGCTATGGTTAAGATATAAACATGTTTAAAAGTAAAATGTTTGAGGTCAAACAATGAAGGAGAGTACATAGATGGAGGGTTCAGTGAGTATTGTATTACATATGGAATCAGGATGGAGAAAACCATTTTGGGACACCAAAGCGAAATGGTGTGGCTGAGCGCATGAATAGAACTCTCAATGAGCGTGCTAGGAGTATGAGGTTGCATGCTGGACTACTAAAGACTTTTTGGTCTGATGCTGTTAGTACTGCTACTTACCTGATAAATCGAGGACCTTCAGTTCCCATGGAGCTCAGACTTCTTGAAGAAGTTTGGAGCGATAAAAAAGTAAAGTTTTCCCATTTAAAAGTTTTTGGTTGTGTTTCATATGTTCATATTGATTCTAATGCTCATACAAAACTTGATGCAAAGTCTAGAATATGTTTTTTCATTGGTTATGGTGATGAGAAATTTGACTATCCTTTTTTGGATGAACAAAAAAGGAAAATAATCAGAAGTAGAAATATGATATTTAATAAACAGGTTATGTACAAGGACTGGTCAACTGTAGTGTGATGTCACTGAGATAGATCAAAAGAAATCTAAGTTTGTCAACTTAGATGAATTGACTGAAAGTACTATCCAGAAAGGGGGTGAAGAAGATAAGGAGAATGTAGAATCACAGGTAGATCAGAGTACACCTGTAGCTGAAGTTCGTAGATCTTCCAGGACCATTAGACCTCCACATCGCTATTCACACATTCTAAATTATCTCCTGCTAACTGATGGTGGTGAGCCAGAGTATTATGATGAAGCCTTGCAAGATGAAAATTTAAGCAAGTGGGAGTTAGCCATAAAGGATGAGATGGGTTCCTTGTTGGGGAATTAGACATGGGAACTGGCTGAATTGCCAGTAAAAAAGAAGGCTTTGCACAACAAGTGGGTATACAAAATTAAGAATGAGTATGATGGTAGCAAGCGGTATAAGGCCAGATTAGTTGTCAAAGGGTTTCAGCAGAAGAAAGGCATTGAATTCTTAGAAATATTTTCTTCGGTTGTGAAGATGTCAACAATTAGACTAGTATTAGGAATGGTGGCTGCAAAAAACCTACATCTTGAGCAGTTAGATGTGAAGACGACATTCCTTCATAGTGACTTGGAGGAAGACATTTACATGATTCAGTCAGAAAAGTTCATTGTTCAGAAACAAGAGAATCTAGTTTGCAAACTGAGAAAGAGCTTGTATGGCCTAAAAGTAAGCTCCAAAACAGTGATACAAGAAATTTGACAATTTTATGTATAGAACTGGGTTCAAGAGATATGAAGTTAATCATTATTGCTACGTTAAGTTCTGTGGCAATTTTTACATTATTTTACTGTTATATGTGAATGATATGATCATTGCAAGGTCTAGTATCGAGGAGATTAATAATCTAAAGAACCAATTGTCAAAACAGTTTTCACTGAAGGATTTGAGAGCTGTAAAGCAAATCCTTGGTATGAGAATCATTAGAGACAGCCAATAGTACATTAAAGCTTTCATAGTCAAAGTATGTGAAGAAAATTCTCGGTAGGTTCAACATGAATGAAACTAAACCAGTGAGTACACCCTTGGGTAGTCACTTTAGACTCAGCAAAGATCAGTTACCCGAGACAGAGGAGGAACATGACTACACGAGTAAGGTTCCTTACGCTTTAGCTATTGGTTCACTTATGTATGCTATGGTCTGCACAAGATCGGACATTGCCCATACAGTGAGAGTTATGAGTAGATACATAAGCAACCCAGGAAGACAGTATTGGGAGGCTGTGAAGTGGATTTTGAGGTACCTGAAAGGTTTTTCAGAAGCATGTTTGTGTTTCACCGAATATAGTGTGGAGTTATAGAGTTTTGTTGATGCCGACTTGGCCGAAGACACTAATAGTAGGAAGAGCACCACCGATTTTGTTTACAGCTTAGGTGGTACTGTCGTGTCTTGGAGTTCCAACTGGCAAAAGACAATATCTTTTTCTACTACAGAGGCCAAATATGTTGCAGTGTCAGAGGCTTCAAAGGAGATGATTTGGTTATAGATTTTGTTGGAGAAACTGGGTAAAAAGAAACAAAATGGTACTTTTTACAGTGATAGTCAAAGTGCCATATTCCTCGCCAAGAATCTGACATTTCATTTTAGGACGAAGCACATTCAAATCAGGTATCCTTTTATATGG